CAGAGATCATGGTGAAGATTCAAGGAGAGGGCACTGCAGAGATAGGGAAACTATAAGAGACCGTGAACCTCTACAGAGGGAGTAAAAGAAGGGGGCAGGGGGCACTTCTCATCCACTGTGAAGGATTCACATTGCAAGACTTCTTGTTGGCCTATGCAGTGACTGTGGGACACACCTCTGCGGTGGTTTTACTCCGGTGGGCAGCTGAGCTCCACCACAACCGCTTGCTCACTCCCCCTCCTCGAAAGGAGGAAAGGGCTCAAGGGTTGAGACAAGAACGGGGAGATCACTCAACAATTATTGTGAAGGGCAAAACAAACTCAGAGTATGGAAATTAATAAAACCTATTGGCTATTATTAACAAGCTACAGAAGTTAGAAACAAAGGAAAGAAACCAAAACCACCTTCCTCCCATCCACCCTCTTCCACCTTCTTACCCCAAAGAGCATGGGGGAATGGGTGCTGCGGTCAGTCCCTGATGCTTTTGTCTCCACCGCTCCTTCACGGTCACCCTCTGCCCCTGCTCCACATGGGGTCCCTCCTGCAGGATGCCATCCTTCCTGAGCTGAGCCTGTGGGGGCTGCCCACAGGCAGCAGCTCTTCAAGCACTGCTCCCACATGGCTCGGTACCACAGGGTTTTAATAAATGACTAAGTCCCAAATAAGGTTACAATCAAAGTTTACAATTAATTAAATGTATAGAGGTAAGCAAACAGTGCTGGGTGCACCGGGAGTCTCTGCTCCACCAAGATGCACACAAGTTACATCAGGCAGCTGGTTTTTATGCTCCTAGGCTAACACATATTCATCATCACTTTTGGAAAAGGCAGGGTTATTATAATTAGTTTCCCGGGACCTGAACCATCCCACGGATGCATGTGTATCAGTCTCTGGTGGTCCCGCTGGGGATCACTCATACTGAAGGCTAATAGTCTTCCTCCCAGTCTTTGTCCTTTGGTTGTTCTTCAGCTTCCCCCCTCTCCTTATTTATTAGTCTCTGGGCCAGATGTCAGAAAGTTGTGTCTCATGCAATAGTGAGCAGTTATCTCAAAAAACTCCCCTCTATTCTCTTATCTCCCAAACCCAAGTCTCACGGTTTACCCTCCAAACTCTCTATCAACACGAACTGCTAGAGCAGTCTTTTGCAAGATACAAGAACTATATACACTAATCACTGTGTTGCTCTTGGAATTGTGGTTATTTATAAAGGGTATGTAAGACAGGTCACATTACGAGGCCCAAGCATTGTTCCACATTGACACGAATCAGATGAACATGTTTCACAGGGTCCATCCCGCAGGAGAAAACTGCTCCAGCACAGGTCCCTCACGGGTGGGCAACAGCATCCCCCCAGACCCCCTGCTCCTGCGCGGGCTCCTCTCCACGGGCTGCAGCTCCGGCCCAGGGCCTGCTCCTGCGGGGGCTCTCCATGGGCCGCAGCCTCCTCCAGGCCACAGCCACCTGCTCCACCGGGGGCTCCTCCACCCATGGCGGGGCTGCAGCGTGGACATCTGCTCCATGCGGGACCCATGGGCTGCAGGGGGCAGCCTGCTCTACCAGGGGCCTCTCCACAGGCTGCAGGGGAACTGCTGCTGCGTGCCTGGAGCACCTCCTGCCCTCCTGCTGCACTGAGCTTGGGGGCTGCAGGGCTGGTTCTCACCCCTCACTCTCCCAGCTGCAGTTGTGTCACTGTGTGCTTTGTTTGTTTTCCCTTTCTTAAATATGCTCTCACGGATGCACAAAGAGCAATTTTTGGCTCATCTCTGGCCAGCATCAGGTCCCTTTGGAGCCAACGGAATCTGGCCCTTATCTAACATGGGGCACCTTCTGGACTCTTCTCACAGAGGCTACCCCTGCAGCGCCCTGCAGATAAAACCTGGCTATGTAAACCCAATACTCCTATAGGAAGAGATCTTCTGCCATTCCTCTGGCAAATCTGGGGAGGGCCATCTCTGGGGAGGGCACCCAGACGGTCTGGAGCACGGGAACACCTTCAGCCGCTGTCACCAATGCAGCAGCACCACTGTGGCAGCACAAGTGAAGAATGGCCCTGCAGGAGCTGGACGTCAGGGGGGGACTGTCCCTGCATGTGGGCACGGTGCTGTCCTGTGCCTGGGAGAGCGTGGGGGTGAGCTAGTGTAGTGGGTTTACGTGGCAACATTTTGGTAGCAGGGGGGCATAGGGGTGGTTTCTGTGAGAAGGATCTAGAAGCTGCCCCATGTTTGCTAAGGGCCCCACTGCTGACCAGAGCTAAGCCAACAAGCGATGTTGTTTTGCACATCAGTGAGAGCATATTTAAGACAGGGGAAAAAAATTGCTACGCCACACAGCGGCTGGGAGAGTGAGAGGAGTGAGGAACAGCCTTGCAGGCACCAAGGTCAGTCAAGAAGGAGGGGGAGAGGTGCTCCAGGCGCTGGAGCAGAAGTCCTGTGCAGCCTGTGGTGAGGACCATGGTGAAGCAGGATGTCCCCCTGCAGCCCATGGAGTACCACGGTGGAGCAGGGTTCCACGCTGCAGCCCGTGGAGGAGACCATGCAGGAGCAGGTGACCTGGCAGGAGCTGCTGCCCGTGGGGGAGCCAGGTTGGAGCAGTTTGCTCCTGAGGGATGGACCCCGTGGTACGGACCCATATCTGGAGCAGTTCTGGAAGAGCTGCTGCCTGTGGGAAGCCCACACCGGATCAGTTCATCAAGGACTGTATCCTGTGGGAGGGACCCCACAGCATAGGGGACGAGAGTGACCGAGAAGGAGCGGCAGAGAAGAAGTGCTGTAGACGGACCATAACCCCCATTCCCCCGTTCCCCTGTGCTGCTCAGGGGGAGGAGGTGGAAGAGGGTGGATGGGGGGGAAGGTGCTTTTGGTTTTTTTTCCTTTCTTTCTCACTTCTCTAGCTTGTTAGTAATAAGCAATAAATCTTAATGTCTACTTATGCTGAGTCTGTTTTGCCCGTTACAATAATTACTGCATGATCTGCTTGTCCTTATCTCAAACTTTGAACCCTTTTCATCGCATTTTCTCCTGGTTCCTCTTTGAGGAGGGGAGTGAGAGACCAGCTGTTGGGGAGCTCAGCTGCCCACTCAAGCGGAACCATGACAGCTAAGACAGCTGCCAGATCACCCACAGCCATGGGTGGGGAAGTAATGCTGTGCCCCTGCCAGCGGCAGGAATTAGAGGGAACGGTCAAATGAGTAGGGGAGGGGAGAAGCAAAGCCCAGAAGGGAGAAGAGAAGACGACAAAGACCCGCACTACATGACATGGTTTATTACATGCCAAGGTGGTGGGCGACAGAACTTGGAATTAAAGGCAGGCTGTTATCTGCACAGAACCGCTGCGTTCTTGCCAGCATGGTGGGGGCAATGGCTGCTCTTGCTCACTGCCTGGAAACTGCCCGAATTAGGGGGCTGAAGGCAAGTGTTGGCAGACTTCCTCCACCTTGGTAGAACCACGCCTTGTTTCCTGGACTGGGACGTCCTCTGCTCCACCTTCATCTGATTGTAATAATGTTCAGCTGTGAAAACAGGGAAACGCACAATAAGAGGGAAATGCTTAAGGCAGGAACACATGTTTTCACCTCCAACTTCAAGCTTTTCAGAAGTTAGTGAAAGAAATTCCACAGGCTCCACGCAGAACATCTGAAGGGAACCTGCAAAGGACTATTGCACACCAGTGTTGTTAGCCTTAGTCCTCTGCAGCCCGCTTCATCCTCGAGTGTCCCTACTCCCTAAGCATTCAAACTGGGCATTCTTTGGAAAACTGCTCCTAAAATACAGCTAAAACTACTCCTAAAATACAGAAGGCCCTGCAGAGTGACCTGGACAGGATGCTTCGATGGGCAGAGGCCAATGGGATGACGTTCAACATGGCTAAGTGCCGGGTCCTGCACTTTGGCCACAACAATCTCATGCAGCGCCACAGGCTTGGGGGAGAGTGGCTCAAGAGCTGTTCAGAGGAAAAGGATCTGGGCGTGTTGGTCCGTGCTGGCCTGAACATGAGCCGGCAGTGTGCCCAGGTGTCCAAGAAGACCAGTGGCATCCTGGTTAGTATCAGGAACAGCACAGCCGGCAGGAACAGGGAGGTGATTTTTCCTCTGTCCTCTGCTCTGGTGAGGCTGCACCTTGAGTACTGTGTTCGGCTTTGGGCTCCTCAGTGCAAGAAGGACATCGAGGCCCTGGAACGGGAAGAGGGCTACGAAGCTGGTGAGGGGCCAGGAGCACAAGTCCTGTGAGGAGCGGCTGAGGCAATTGGGGTTGTTTAGTCTGGAGAAGAGGAGGCTCAGGGGAGACCTCGTTGCTGTCTACAGCTACCTGAAAGGAAGGTGTGGCGAGCTGGGGGTCCACCTCTTCTCTCAGGTAACTAGTGGCAGGATTGGAGGGAATGGCCTCAAGCTGCACCAGGGGAGGATAAGCTTATAAATTAGGAGACATTTCTCCTCAGAAAGAGCAGTCGGGCACTGGAGCGGGTTGCCTAGGGAGGTGGTGGCGTCACTGTCCCTGGGGGTGTTCAAGGAAAGGCTGGACCTGGCGCTTAGGGACGTGGGTTAGTGAGTGACAGTGGTAGTAGGGTGATGGTTGGACCAGATGATCCTGAAGGCAACTTCCAACCTTAATGATTCCGTACAAGTGCAGAGAACAACCCTGTATGGGCTGCTGCAGGGAATGTTAGCTCCATCCCAGCCAGACCCAGTACAACTGGGGCAGGTGCCAGCTCAACCATGGCCCCAGGGAAGTAATGCAGTGCCCTTGCCAGCCAGGCATGTTCTCGGTGCCTCCTGAGGAGCCCAGCCCCGTCGCATGGCCCCAGATCCCCATCCACACTGCGGAAGAACGTCAACTGAGGCACAAAGAGCTCTGAAGGCAGGAGCCAGAAACTGCCGCAGTCACTGCTGGAGTGTGGGGCAGTGTGGCCCTCCAACTTAAGGCGACACCTAGGGACGCTCTGGTGACGCCTAGTGACGCCCCTGGTGACGCCCATTGTGACGTAATGTGACACAATGCTGAGACACAGTACAGTGCCCCCAGCAGTGCTCAGTGCTGTTGCCTCTGCTGTGGGAGCAACAGCACTGCCCTGGCTGGGAGTCTCGGTGCGTCCCTGCCCTGCCTGGAAGCGCCAGGCCACAGCCGCTGCTCGGGGCTCGGCTCCCCTGCCCCTGCGCCTGTCCGTGTCGGACCCAAGCAGGGCCCGCAGGGCTCCGGTGGCCCCAGCTGGGCTTGTGCCCACATCCTTGCTGCAGCATGAAGAGGCTCCTGGGGCACCAGGAGCGTCCGATGCCCAGCAGCACTTTGCTGTCCAGAGACAGCGATGCCCACCAGCTGCCAGAGGAGGGCCTGCATGGGCTGCACCGCGCGGCTGCCCGTGGCGACCTGGCCCGGCTGAGGAAGCACTGGTGGCTGAAGAGACTAGGCAAAAACTGTCTGGACCAGGCAAAGCGGTGAGGGGCTGGGGGGCATCTTAAAGGCTCGGGCTGGGATCGCTCTCCTGTGGCGTGCGAGCTTCAGCCTGGTGCCACTGCGTACGCGGCTCTGGCACCAACCCTCCTTCTGCAGCAGGTGTCAGCAAGAGCTGAGGCGATGGAGGGCTGAGACGGGGCCTCGTCCGGCCAGGCAGTCACTGGCACTGGACATAGTCAGGGGAACGTGCTCCTACCAGCCCTTGGCAAAGCCTTCAGCCCTGCGCGGAGAGACGGCTGAAGCGCAGGGCAGAGTCAGGAGCACGGCAGCAAGGGCACCGCCTCCCCTGGAACCCTGGGTCAGAGCTGATCACTGCGAGGGCTTTTCCCTCTCAGCTGGCAGAGGGGAAAAATCCAGCTTTGCTTGGAATTGCTGGGGCGGCTCGAGCGCTGCTCGAAGGGTGTGCCGCCGACCGCCACCGCCCTGTCCTCTCCCTGTGGGGTTGTTTAGCGGCCGCTCGGGCATTAGCAGTTCTCTCCTGTCTGGTGGGTGATCAGCGTCGGGGCGTTCACCGCCCTTCTGCTGCTTTTGTGCCGTTTTGATTGTGGAAAAACTCGGAGGCTTACACGGACTTCACAGTCTTCATGGAGTTCCACAGCCTCCAAAGCTTACGTTCCGCTTGGCATTGGCAAGTGGAGACTTGTGGCCCTGCGCGTGTTCCAGAGCCGGGAGTGATTTCGGGCACTGCCTGCCTGTGGAAAGCTAATTTATTTTGGTTTTAGGACACCTCTGCACCTTGCTTGTGCGAACGGCCATGCAGATGTTGTTCGATTCCTGGTGCAAGAGAAGTGCCTGCTGAACCTTTGCGACAACACTGGCAGATCGCCACTGATGAAGGTATGTGGAACACGTTACTCTGCTCTAAGTGGGGCTTTATCGATTGTGCTTCAAGTGACAAGTGTCTTGCTGCATTCTTCACACCAACCTGTAGAGAAACCTGAAAGTTGCAATCGGCACGTAATAGGCGTACACGAGCTCGTCTTGGAAGACACTCTTATCTTCCAGCACTGGGAAGCTGCTGTAGCTGTGACAGAGTGAAACATGGCACGAGTCCTTCCTTTTCTTTGTGTTGTTTGCAGGCAGTGGAGAGCCAGCATGAAGAATGCGTGGCGATTCTGCTAGAGCACCATGCCGACCCAAACTTGGAAGTTTACAGAGGCAACTCTGCCCTTCACCTGGCTGCCGCAGCTCCCAACACATCTCTAGCAGAGATGTTAATTGAGCATGGTGCACACCTTGAAGCAAAGAACTGGGTAAGTTTTGAATTTGGGTAGCGCTGCTCTTTGGGAAAGGCACCTAATTCATCTGGGCTGTTCTGACTGGGATTCTTTATCCTTTCAGGAGGGAAATACCCCGCTTCTTCTTGCCATCTCCAGCAATCATAAAGAGATGGTAAACTTTCTTCTTCAAAAAGGAGCGACTGCGTGTGCTCAAAATATGTTTGGAAGGTGAGGCATTGCTCCAAACCACATGTTGGTCTCCTTAGCATTCTCACTGTAAGAATCAGGAGAAAGAGAGTCAGTGTTGTCCGAGAGACAATGGGCATTAAGTGAAACAAGAGGCCTTCCCAGAGCTGCTTAGGAGAAACCCTCTCGGCATGAGGAAGGTCAATCAGGGGAGCAGGTGGTGCCAGGGGTTTGAGCAGCCTCCATCCTTGAAGGCTTTGAAGAGCAGCATGGAAGAAGCCTTGAGCAACGTGGTCTGGACTCATGGCTGAGTCTCCTCTGGGGAGGCAGTTGGCCAGGAGGCGTCCCGAGGTGCCTTCCAGCCTCAGTCCTGCAACACTCCCCTGTGTGTGGCTTTGCTTTCCCTGAGCTTGTAGGAATCGGGGAGGGAATTGTTTGGGGAGTAAACAGGGATTACAATAACAACAACACAGAGCCTGCAAATGCTGCTATGTTTCATATATCATCTTTTGGATGCTTTAGGACTGCTCTTATGTTTGCCGCTTCTGTTGGGGAAATGGATGTAGTAGACCTACTTCTTTCCTATGGTGCCAAGATTGCTTGCAAAGAAACCACTCCCGAAACAGCCGTGGATTGTGCACTCTACTCGGGACACTTTGGGTGAGTGTTTTGTACATCATTGTCAAAGCCGCTGAGTTGTCAGAGTGTCCATGCTGATTTGTCACTCTTTGTGGTAGATGCACAAAGGCTTAATGATATCTTCAGACCATTCTTGAAGCTGGACTCAGTGATGTCTTCTCATGTCTCCTTTCCAAGTTAAGAAAGGATTTGGAAGTAGAGGAGAACTTCCACCCACAAGGCTCTCCTAGAAATCCTGCTTGTGTTGCTAAGCCCAGTTCCACTCCACTGAGCAGGGAAGAGGCGCCTGTTCTTTCAGTGGGGATCTTACCAGTGTCCCTTCAGATAAACCCTCAAAGAGATCCCTGGTGGCGTAGCAGGTCCACCATCGTGGGGAGACTGACACCGCACACAGACAGTTCTGAACCGGTTCCAAGTCAGTTGCTGTCCTCGGCAAGAGCAAGGATCCTGGGCAAGGATGTTTTGGATCTGACTGCCTGTACGTTCTCTCTTTCTATGCGTAGCATTGTCATGAAACTGCTAGAACGCGCACGCTGTGAAAAGACGGGAGAAGCTTCTGCTGATGCTGCACAAGACACAGCAGTCCCCAGCAAAATCTGCTCTCGGAGGACTGAGCGTTTTCTATTACACATAGGTGCTTTGGATGGAGAAGGTAGGATCCTGTAGTGTGGAAGAGCTGATGAGGACTGTGGCCTGATGTCAAACCCTTTCCCGTATTTGGGGTCAGGGCTTGACTGGCAGGGAAACGCAGAGTGCCAGGAATGCTCACACTGTCTTGCTTCGTCCATCCCTTGTAGGCGCCCTGCCAGCTGTAGGAGCAGAGCAGGAGGAAGACGCTGAATTGCCCACGGATCACAAGGTACTTTCTGTGAAGGACCCACTGGCTGCCACTTGGCTCGCTTACTTTGGGGCAAGTTTACCTCTGGGCTCGCTTCCCTCTGTTGCTGCCTCTGCCACATGGTTGTGACTGGGGGCCCTTGAACTACTTGTGCTCCAGCCCAGCTCTTCAGTTTGCACTGAGCTGGTGAAACTGCTATGAGACCTGGGTCCTGCTGCAGCTGGCCTTTCAGTTAGAGTTCCAGTCGAGGGGAAGCATATTCTACATAACGAAGCAGCAAAGGTTCTTCCCGCTGCTTAAAATCTTCTGAGCTTCTCAAAGGGGCTGGCTGGGAGTAACCTGTTGCTTTTCACCATACCTCACCAGCGCTCTGGTAGCCTTCACGTGGCAATTTTTAAGGCCAACAACGAAGGCATACCAGAGAATAGCACTGAGGGCTTGCAGCTCTGCTTTCAGTGTGCATGCCTTGGTTGCGAGCATGTTCTCAGAAGCTGCAGGGAGATTCCAGGCCATGCTTAAGCTCTGGCAGAAGAAGTCTGGCCTCTGCTTTGCAAGTGCTGAAATGCCCCTGGAGGCAACAACAGTTCTGCAGAGTCCATTCTCCGCTGCCCGCCTTTTTGTGTAGGCAGAAAGCCCCTGCCCAGTCTCTCAGCCTATGTTCCAAGAAGAGAAAAAACCTTAAGCCTCCCCTGTGTTTTAAGAAACAGAAACCCTCACAAAGAGCTGCTGGTGGTTGAGGCTAAGAAAGATGGAGAGAGGTCCCCAGCTGTGCAGATGCCCGGCGGTGGCGCGCTTCCAATGCTTTGTTTCAGGCAGAAGACTGACCTCGTTGTAGAAGCTAATGAGTAAAAGCACAGCTCATATTCCCATGCTCTCACTGACTTTGTCATGCTCACGGAACCCCATTTCTTTAGGATCGAGACAGACAGCTGCAGATGGAACTTCCTGGTGCTCCTGAAAGTCTGTCTGCGTCAGAAGCCCCACCTGAGGCTACTGAGAGCCAGCGCAGGGACGATGAGAAAGACGCAGAGCGCTTGCGAGAGGAATTGGAGACAGCTAAAGCTGAGGTATGGAAAGGCTGCACTATAGGGATAAATCTGAGAGCGGTGGTGCTTTCTCTTCCCTTCTTCCCCCCTTTCTGCTGGTGACCAACACAACGGGCCTTTGGAGGAGGAGAGCAAGACAGCACCACAGCTGACCTTTGGGACTTAATGGAACATCTGCTATAACCTCCGTATCCTTGCAACCACACATCAGCTTTGACCTAGAGAGAAAAGGCCTAGCTCCAGCAGCTCTGTCAAAGTGGCCTCCTGAGGCACTGTTTCCAAAGCTTTCAGAGTAACGGCAGGAAGAGCATTGGTTGCTCGTGCCTACTCCGTTCTGCACTGCAGCGCTTCCCCCAACACACACACAATAGGCGTTCTTTCTGGTGTCTGGGTAGAGGCGTGTTTGATGTCCCACGAGCAGAGGAGCATTTCGGGCAAGAGCGTCCCTAGCACCTTTCAGGCCAGTCTCGTCTCCCTGCAGAAGAACCGAGGAAGGATGGAAACTTGGGGAATCCTGCCAGCAGTGATCTAAAAGCTGTTGTGTTAAAAGACGAGCCTGCCTTTACTTTCAATACCAAGTCAGAAGGTGACAAACACCATCTTGACGCCCTACCCCTTTGTGCTTTGCTCTCCACAGCTCAAAGAACTTTCGCAGCAGCTGGAGATGGAGTCTGAAAAATACAGGCAGCTAGAAGCACAGAGTTGTGACCTGCAAGAAGAGCTGTCTGCTCTGCGTGGCTCTCAGGAAAAAATGGAGAAGACCAATGGCCAGCTGCAAGAAGAGGTGGCATACCTCAAAGATCTTCTGAAGACGTCCAAGGTGGGTCACGAGCAAAAGCAACAGCATGAGACAGAGATAAGAAAGGGCCTGAAAAGGAACAAGTGCTCATACCAGAAGTCGCAGGACATATTTGTATTTGGGGTCTTGCCCCTCTTTCTTTCTGTGAGGCGTTGTTCTCCACTGGCGCAGAAGTCACTGAGCTGAACAGAATTATGTATGGAGCCTTTGCAAAAGGCTTACTTTCTCCTCCTGAGAAATAGGATCGTTGCCCTGTGGTAGTTTCCGTGTTCTGCCTTGACTGCTGGTGGTAGTGAGGAGGCGAGTGCCGTGCCCTCAGTGAGGCTGGGCCCTTGAAACTGGCTATGTGCAACTGATGGGGGGATGGTTCTCTTCTTTGTGGTGATGGAAATTTCATTATCTGCTTCAGACACGGGCAGCCTCCCCAGACATGCATGAACTGTCAAGATCTCCTCCTTGTGCTTCTCCGAGCAAGAAGCCAACGCACAGAAGCAGACATGCTGACTCTGAAGAGGACGATGGAGGGAGAAAGACACTGCAAGAGCATACTTTTCCAGATGAGTCCATTGAGGCAAAACTGGAAAGGTACAAGCACTACTGTCGGGAGGAACGAAAGCTCAGAAGACTTCCAGAGAAAAAACCTGCAAAGGTATGTGCAGACTGCTTTTTGGAGTGAGAGCAAGATGCTACTTTTTCCTTGTACATTCTCCTCCTAAGAACCCTCTTGTATGCCTGGTCAACATGATGTCAGTAAATATGCCTACAATTGCACAGTCCCTGTCTGCGCCTGCTCCCCGTGGGGTCCCTCTCACAGGATGCTGTCCTTCCTGAACTGAGCCTGCGGGGGCTGTCCACAGGCAGCGGCTCTTCAAGCACTGCTCCCACACGGCTCTGTACCACGGGGTCCATCCCCAGGAGCAAATTGCTCCAGCACAGGTCCCCCACGGGTGGCAGCTCCCCCTAGCCCCCCTGCTCCTGCGTGGGCTCCTCTCCACGGGCTGCAGCTCCGGCCCGGGGCCTGCTCCCATGGGGGCTCTCCATGAGCCACAGCCTCCTCCAGGCCACAGCCACCTGCTCCACCGGGGGCTCCTCCACCCATGGGGGGGCTGCAGCGTGGAGATCCTTCTCACAGAGGCCACCTCTGCAGCCCCGTGCAACCCAAACCCTGCCATGTACACCCAATACAGCGATGTAAGGCAGAAAAGAGGAACTGCATGTCCTATTGTCGTGGCAACAAACTAAGAATGCTTAAAGAAGTATGAGCCTTCTAGAGAGCAGAACCTGATTCTGTGAAGTCTATGGCTTTGGCTGCCATTTCGGCAGCAAGTCTGAGATTGGAGTTTTCCTTAGGCAGGGGAGGATATCCCTGACTCTTTATGCAGCTGATGCATCTTCCAGAAGAAGCCACATAAATCCACAGCATCGGTGATACTTTTGCACCATGGATGCAGGCTCTCCAAAAACCTCAAATCAAATGATGTTTTTGTGTTTAGACGCCATTCATCCCTTCCACTCTCAGAAGTCAAATGCTGGTCAAAGACCTGGAGAGCAGCTTTGCCAAACTGTAACCAAATATAATTCTTGCATGCATCTGACTTTTTCAGAGCTCGTCAGAGTCTAGACAAAAACAAGCTAAGCTCCACCCGAAGCACCACTGAAGCCTGCGTGCCTAAGGTCAGCATTCATAAATGTTATTCTCAACCTCTCTGAAAGAATATCTGTGAGCAAGCTTACGCTTCTGAGCCTCAAGTTAGAATCCCTTTTGTGGGTCCAAAACACACCGTCTTTATGCTAAAACAACTGCTAAGCATCAGAAGAGTACACAACTGTATGGGGGAGGGCTGAAGACCTCTGGTCATTGGGGGGTGTGCAAAATACAGAGTGCCCTTCTTCTTCTGCAAAGCCATAAGGGAAAGAGTGAAGGGAAAGAAAGGGAGAATAGACAAAATGACCGTACAAATGGTAATGAGAGAACAGGCACCAGACAAAGACATGCCACACCGAAGGCTGCGGTAGGGCCAGGTGGCAGCACGAACATGTTTGCCTTTTCAAAGGCAGATCCTTTTCAACGTTTTCAAGGTGAATGCGGAAGCTGCATTTTAGGAGTAGTGTTCCAAAGAATGCCCAGTTTGAATGCTTAGGGAGTAGGGACACTCGAGGATGAAGAGGGCTGCAGAGGACTAAGGCTAACACTGCTAAGCAAGAGTCGTTTGCAGGTTAGCTCACAACGTTCCGTTTGTAGCTTCTGGAATTTCCTTCACTAACTTTTCACATACTGGTAACTGGAGGTGAAAACATGTGTTCCTGCCTTGTGCATTTCCTTATTTTGCATTTCCCTATTTTCACAGCTGAACATTATTACAGACCAGATGAAGGTGGAGCAGAGGACGTCCCAGTCCAGAAAACAAGGCGGTTCTGTGCAGATAACAGCCCGCCTTTAATTCCAAGTTCTGTCGCCCACCTTGGCATGTAATAAACCATGTCATGTAGTGCGGGTCTTTGTCTTCCTCTCTTCTCCCTGTTAGAAATGGCTCAGGATTCAAATTAGGATTAAATAAAAAAAATAAGATTTATTAAAAGAATATAAAAGAATAGAGGTTAGCAAACAGCACTGGGTGCACTGGGAGTCTCCGCTCCAGCAGGATGCACCCCAGTTACATCAAGCAGCTGATTTTTATGCTCCTAGACTAATACATATTCATTAATACTTCTAAAAAAAACAGGTTATTATAATTAGCTTCCGGGGTCCAGTCCCTCCTACTGGAGCATGCGCATCAGTCTCCTCTGGGGGTCTCTAGGGGTCTTTCATGCTGAAGGCTCGTAGTCTTCCTCTCCAAGTCCTTCCCCTTTGTACTCCTTTGGCATCGTACCAAGTTTATAGAATATTTTCTGCAGGTCTTGTCTCCCAGCCGTCCTTCAGCTTCTTTTTTTCTTCTTCTTAGTATCTTGGCCACCTGGCCAAATACCAGAGGTTTGCATAGTATCCCATAACAGTCACTAGTTGTTATCAGTTGTTCTGAAACCCCCAGACATCAAAGACTTCATACAAACACAAATAACTTTCCTATTGACACTTCACCAGTAATTAAAACATTCTTCACCAGCCATTCACAGGACAGTCACACCTATAGCACTGTTAAGTTAATCTCGAAGAAGACAGAAAAAAAAAGGCTTTAACTGTTAGAAACAGAAGTCCGGAATAACAAAAGCAAACAGGTTCATAAATTTGAGGAGTATTTTCTGAAGACTTGATAGATTGACTAGAATGAGGGGGAGACTGGGACACACTGCATCTGTGGTTCAAGAATTAAATTGCTAGTGCAGGGCCCAGAGGCAGACAGGACTGTTCTTTATGGACACGAATTGCTAAAACATTCCTCACATGCCTTCCGGGCTTTGCTTCTCCTCTCCCATGGCCATGTGACCATTCCCTCTGATTCCTTCTGCTTGTCTCCCTTGCTGGCCAGGAGCATCCTCTGAACAGCAAATGTGTTATTTCCGTTGTGACAGTCAGACCAAGCCTTTTGCAGATGTGTCTTGTGAGTTTCACAGTACCAAGGGAAACTCAGGGGCAAGCTAGGGACAAGGGCTTGGGATGGCCAAAGGGAGAATACACAAAGACAGAGGTGTCATTTGCCTCCTGTGGCTAGAAATGGTTCCCTTGCAAAAGGGATAGCCCACGACAAGCGGGGGACCTCAACCACACTGTCCATGAGGCTGGCAGAGAGCTTTAATGCTGTGGCCGGATTTCTGAATGCAGGGCAAATGATTTGTAGGCTTTAAACCAGCATCCTCTGAGCAAGGTGTTCTTCTGGGAAGGAGACTCGGGCTCTCCCATATAAAGAGATCTTCTGACACTCATCTGGCAAATTCGGGGAGGGCTGAAGGGATAGAGGAAAACACCACCTGCGTGCCCACTGCATCCAGCAATTGCCTCAGTCCCCTGAAGTCCCTTTTGGTAGCCTCCACGCTTCTCTCAGCAATTTCATCACTGCCAGCCTGAATTCTCACTAATGGGGAAAAATCGGAGGGGCTAACAAGGTCAGGAAGTTTCCTGGGAATGGCCTTGACCCAAGCCCCAGGTAGGCTGCAGACTTCCCTATGGGTAGGGTCTACCTAACATACGTGACCCTCTGTTCCCTTCAGAAGGGAGTCGCCTACAACCATTACCCTTCTTTCCTTCTGGCTGGAGGAAGTCTTGAAGCATGGAGTCGACTTGCCAGGTCCTTGTGGCTCCCTCGCCTGCCTCCAGTGACCTCGATGAGGAAAAGCGCCTGGCCACCGTGATCCCCTGCTCCGCCACAGCACGCGACTGCCTCGGACTGTGAACCTCTATGGAGGGAGCAAAAGAAGGGGGCAGGGGGCACTTCTCATCCACTGTGAAGGATTCACATTGCAAGACTTCTTGTTGGCCTATGCAGTGACTGTGGGACACACCTCTGCGGTGGTTTTACTCCGGTGGGCAGCTGAGCTCCACCACAACCGCTTGCTCACTCCCCCTCCTCGAAAGGAGGAAAGGGCTCAAGGGTTGAGACAAGAACGGGGAGATCACTCAACAATTATTGTGAAGGGCAAAACAAACTCAGAGTATGGAAATTAATAAAACCTACTGGCTATTATTAACAAGCTACAGAAGTTAGAAACAAAGGAAAGAAACCAAAACCACCTTCCTCCCATCCACCCTCTTCCACCTTCTTACCCCAAAGAGCATGGGGGAATGGGTGCTGCGGTCAGTCCCTGATGCTTTTGTCTCCACCGCTCCTTCACGGTCACCCTCTGCCCCTGCTCCACATGGGGTCCCTCCCGCGAGATGCCCCGGAGAGAGCCTGCGGGGGCTGCCCACAGGCAGCAGCTCTTCAAGCACTGCTCCCGCATGGCTCGGTACCACAGGGTCCATCCCCCAGGAGCAAACTGCTCCAGCACGGGTCCCCCACGGGCATCAGCATCCCCCAGACCCCCTGCTCCTGCGCGGGCTCCTCTCCACGGGCTGCAGCTCCGGCCCGGGGCCTGCTCCTGCGGGGGCTCTCCATGGGCCGCAGCCTCCTCCAGGCCACAGCCACCTGCTCCACCGGGGGCTCCTCCACCCATGGGGGGGTTGCAGCGTGGAGATCTGCTCCATGCGGGACCCATGGGCTGCAGGGGGACAGCCTGCTCCACCAGGGGCCTCTCCACGAGCTGCAAGGGAACTGCTGCTGCGTGCCTGGAGCACCTCCTGCCCTCCTGCTGCACTGAGCTTGGGGGCTGCAGGGCTGGTTCTCACCCCTCACTCTCCCAGCTGCAGTTGTGTCACTGTGTGCTTTGTTTGTTTTCCCTTTCTTAAATATGCTCTCACGGATGCACAAAGAGCAATTTTTGGCTCATCTCTGGCCAGCATCAGGTCCCTTTGGAGCCAACGGAATCTGGCCCTTATCTAACATGGGGCACCTTCTGGACTCTTCTCACAGAGGCTACCCCTGCAGTGCCCTGCAGATAAAACCTGGCTATGTAAACCCAATACTCCTATAGGAAGAGATCTTCTGCCATTCCTCTGGCAAATCTGGGGAGGGCCATCGCTGGGGAGGGCACCCAGACGGTCTGGAGCACGGGAACACCTTCAGCTGCTGTCACCAATGCAGCAGCACCACTGTGGCAGCACAAGTGAAGAATGGCCCCGCAGGAGCTGGACGTCAGGGGGGGACTGTCCCTGCATGTGGGCACGGTGCTGCCCCGTGCCTGGGAGAGTGCGGGGGTGAGCCAGGACAGCTGCCAGATCAACCGCAGCCATGGATGGGGAAGTAATGCTGTGCCCCTGCCAGCGGCAGGAATTAGAGGGAAAGGTCAAATGAGTAGGGGAGGGGAGAAGCAAAGCCCAGAAGGGAGAAGAGAAGACGACAAAGACCCGCACTACATGACATGGTTTATTACATGCCAAGGTGGTGGGCGACAGAACTTGGAATTAAAGGCAGGCTGTTATCTGCACAGAACCGCTGCGTTCTTGCCAGCATGGTGGGGGCAATGGCTGCTCTTGCTCACTGCCTGGAAACTGCCTGAATTAGGGGGCTGAAGGCAAGTGTTGGCAGACTTCCTCCACCTTGGTAGAACCACGCCTTGTTTCCTGGACTGGGACGTCCTCTGCTCCACCTTCATCTGATCTGTAATAATGTTCAGCTGTGAAAACAGGGAAACGCACAATGAGAGGGAAATGCTTAAGGCAGGAACACATGTTTTCACCTCCAACTTCAAGCTTTTCAGAAGTTAGTGAAAGAAATTCCACAGGCTCCACGCAGAACATCTGAAGGGAACCTGCAAAGGACTATTGCACACCAGTGTTGTTAGCCTTAGTCCTCTGCAGCCCGCTTCATCCTCGAGTGTCCCTACTCCCTAAGCATTCAAACTGGGCATTCTTTGGAAAACTACTCCTAAAATACAGCTAAAACTACTCCTAAAATACAGAAGGCCCTGCAGAGTGACCTGGACAGGATGCTTCGATGGGCAGAGGCCAATGGGATGACGTTCAACATGGCTAAGTGCCGGGTCCTGCACTTTGGCCACAACAATCTCATGCAGCGCCACAGGCTTGGGGGAGAGTGGCTCAAGAGCTGTGCAGAGGAAAAGGATCTGGGCGTGTTGGTCCATGCTGGCCTGAACATGAGCCGGCAGTGTGCCCAGGTGTCCAAGAAGACCAGTGGCATCCTGGTTAGTATCAGGAACAGCACAGCCGGCAGGAACAGGGAGGTGATTTTTCCTCTGTCCTCTGCTCTGGTGAGGCTGCACCTTGAGTACTGTGTTTGGCTTTGGGCTCCTCAGTGCAAGAAGGACATCGAGGCCCTGGAACGGGAAGAGGGCTGCGAAGCTGGTGAGGGGCCAGGAGCACAAGTCCTGTGAGGAGCGGCTGAGGCAATTGGGGTTGCTTAGTCTGGAGAAGAGGAGGCTCAGGGGAGACCTCGTTGCTGTCTACAGCTACCTGAAAGGAAGGTGTGGCGAGCTGGGGGTCCACCTCTTCTCTCAGGTAACTAGTGGCAGGATTGGAGGGAATGGCCTCAAGCTGCACCAGGGGAGGATAAGCTTATAAATTAGGAGACATTTCTCCTCAGAAAGAGCAGTCGGGCACTTGGAGCGGGTTGCCCAGGGAGGTGGTGGCGTCACTGTCCCTGGGGGTGTTCAAGGAAAGGCTGGACCTGGCGCTTAGGGACGTGGGTTAGTGAGTGACAGTGGTAGTAGGGCATTGTATTGATGTTATTGTAGGCCTTTTGCAACCGTAGCTGCTCTGTGATTCCATGCAGTGACACAGGGCACTTCTTAAAACCTGCAGAAATGCCAGGACCGGAAACCCCAGCGCCCCGCGGCCGGAGCCATGTGCTGGGCAGTGTGGCAGCAGCGCTCCGCCCCCCCCCCCCCACCGTTATGTGTCATTGCGGCCCCTCAGCGGGCGCCTCGCGTCGTCGGTGCGCGCCGGAAGGGGCGGGCGGTGGCTGCGGCGGGCGGGAGGCGCTGAGGCAGGAGCGGCCGCCAT